AACAATTTATTCGAAGAGTGATTTTCTTGTGTCTTTTTGTTTTCTACTAACTCTAGGTACCAAAATTGCATTATTTGACTTTAAAAGTTTTCGCCCATAATGATTTCGAATTCGCCTATATGAAATGTATACTTAATAATTTAAGTCGCATCCAAAAATTTAAACTTCATCTTCATACGTAAATTATTGTCTAGGAACATTGAAAAAATAATAAATTCCTTTGAAATTTCATCAATTTTGAATTTATGAATGAATTACAGTAAGATAATCTGTTCTACAAGAATATATATAACTTTTTAATATGATTTTTTCTTTTAGTTTTGAGACAAATATTTTTATTTGACCACATATTCAAGATATTTCGATTGGTTTGCATCCATCTCTTTACGTACTTATTTCTTGAGCGACTAAATGAAATATATCCTAATATTTCTCATATTAAATTTTATACAGGTTAAGATTTTACTCTTTGCCGATTTATGAAAGAAAAGAACAGTTTCTAAGAAAAACATACGAAAACAGAGAAAAAGCTGTTTTTCTGATGTATCTAGGTCATAGTTTCTTTTTAAGTCTTAAAATAGCCTACATTTGTCACTGCTCACTATAATAATTACATGATTTTGTCGGAAAAGCTTTTAAAAATTATTAAATGTCAGTCGAAAATCATAAAATCACAGTTAAATGACTGAACAGATTTGCATCCTTTTTAATGTCTAGATGAATATTTTTAACAAAAGTAGATGAACGAAAAAATAAATAAAAACATTTAGTACAATTCATTCTGACCCAACCATAATTGTAACATAATTTTTGTTTCTATTTTTCAGGAGTTCTTTCAGATTGTGTTTTGATAAAAAGGAAGAGTATGATTATGTGCTTAGCGAAAAGAACAATCACATCCTACAAAATATTTCCAACAATATATACTTTATATGCAATTAAATTCACAAACAGATTTTAGAAAAACTTGTATTTTATTATGAGAAAATATATTCATTGGTTTTTTTATTATATAGAATGTTATAGAGATGTTGATAGTGATATTCAACTTCGAAATGTGACCAGACTTGATTTAGAGTTTTGCTTACATCGTGTGATTCATATGTCTTAATGTATTTTACCTTGATTAACATTATCTTACATATATAATATTAACTGTTCGAAATATATTTGTTCAATGCATGCTTATATAAAAATTGTATGTATGAATTTTAATAAACGGTTCTTACTTTATTTTTAAGAATAATAACTTATACGAAATGAATTTTATTATTAGGATTAGGATTTTCTTCAAACATAATACAAAACTATTCCATGCACGCTGAGCATAGAATAAGTAATATCAAATTTTGATTAGATTCATTCATCGTATCTCACTGATTACTGTTATTTTCACCAAATTCGTTGTACTCCATAGATTTTCTATCAATAAAAAAACAGAAGTCTTTGTCGTGGGCAGAGGGTGTGGGTGCGAGTCAGACATAGATATCTACACTCTTAGCTCAGGTTTGCACTCAACTGAAGTGTCGATTTGGTGATACCAAGGGTTAAAATGATTCCGTCCCGATAAACAACACTCTAAGTCAAGAAATGTCGAACTGAAAAACTTCATCAGTTTTTAGTTTTAAGGATAAAACAATAGAACTCACACCTACCCTTTATGATTTTCTTCTATGTTGTTGGTCTCAAACAGACCGTTTATGATTCTCAAAGTCAACATATATGCTCCTGACCATGGGTACGATCTCTCATATATTAACTTATACACTGTAAAGTATAGATATCGAAGTTGAGTATGACTGTTACTGACTTTTGACATTTCCTTCATTTAAGTCTACAATTCACACGCACATTAAAATAGAATCGAAATTTTTTTGACATTCAAAAGTTGAAGCTTAAATTGATTATTGTCGCTAAATGAGTTCTTTGATAAATCCTAGTAGAATCAATTCATATTTATATTTACCGTACGACGATATTGAAAGATCTTATATATCATTTCTGAAACGGAAGATACGACTATCCATTGAAAAAGCATTTCGAAAGCTATGATAAAATAAGCTATCAGAATCTTATCAAAAGTCGTCTCTGTCTTCATTCCAACACATATATATATTGGGCGAAGATCAACTGTAATGAAATAATTTTTTTTGTTTTCATGAAATATATTTAATACTCTTTGTAAAAATCAAACAAATAATTATGTTATATAAAGTATCATTTATATTTATTTATTTTGTCTTTAGAAAATATTCTTTAGAATAAGTTTATTTTTTTTTACTTGAAATATATAAAAAATTTTAGAAAGTTGTTAATACAATCAATGAACTTAAATAAAATACGTACAAAAATATTTGCTCATTTCATTTCAACGCCAGTTCAACTTAAGTATTTATTACATTTGTTGTCTTACTTGAAATTTAACAAAAAATAGTTTTCTTTTCATAATTTGATTTGGTCGCATCGATTATTGAAAACTGATCATCGTGTATATGTTTTTAAGAATAAGAATGAAATAAAGCCTTGCTATTCTTATTTATGGATAAATAAAAATAGGGAAGATAATAAGAAATATTATTCTAAAATACAAAAATTTAACAACAAAAAGAATAATTAGAAAATGACTATAGTACTTTAGTGAAGACTTCGATATTATGTAAAGAATAAAAAAGTATTAAATAATTTTCATCTTTACATTAGTTATTCGTTATATCGTAGGTTTGCATCAAGCTGAAGCTAGACTGAACAGTTTAGACTTGGTCGAGTTTGAACTTTGTTAGGCTTAGCATTAGTTTGCCTTGGGTTCAGTCAGATTCTAAATGAGTCTGACCGAGATTGAATAGCTCGAGCTTTGTAGACGCCTAGTTTCATTCTATTTCAATGCAAGTATCAAAGTATTCAAGGCAATGAGTTCTAGAGGATTTCTAATTTTCTCTTATTTTTTATTCAGCACTGTTCAATGTGCTGAATTCGGTATTCCTAGTTGTCATTATGGCTCTAATGACTTGATTTACGTTGGAAAGAATCTAGTATCTTTTCTCAGTACTCATATGCTTTTTTTTTTATAAACTTTGCATCGTTGACGACCAGATGATTTTCCTTGGACATCTAGTAAGTGTATTTTCGAGAGAAACTATGTAAATATGTATAACATTTACTATTTAGAATGAGCTACTCCTGCATGTCTTTAATATAATAATAAATTTTCATCAATTTTAGAATTTATATATATCTCGTTTTGTGGAACTCACACATATTCTTAAAGAGAATGCTGAGTATAATTGGCAAGTCGAAGTTTTTCAGCTACCTCACCCTCTCCAAAAAAACAGGAAGAAATTCTGTTCCACGTCCAGAAATAAATTAGATAGATTTATACTGCAGCGATTGATTGGCTTGAGAAGCATCTAAAATCTACAAGATATTGTTCATTTCAGTATCTTCTGTTAGTTTAAGGGAGGCTAAGGAATTTATTCGAATTCCATATTTCATTCGCAAAATAAACTGTGCTAATAGGACTTTTAGTTTATCTTTTTATTTCTGAATCTGAATTAAGGTCATAGAATTTGTAAACCTTCTTAAATTATCGGTCGTTGTTCATTTTATTAACTGAATAAGTGACATACTTTTTAAGTCTTCTCTTTTTTAGTTTTATTTTCATTAGCGATAGCTATGAAATAAGTCATTGACAAAAACAAATAAATATCTGACTATAATCTCTGATTTAATCTTCGTAAGGGTGTGGATGTGGGCATACGTTTGGATCTTGTAGTAGCTTGCTCGGCATATCCACACCCCACAACTACATCCACACTTCACATCCACACCCACATCCATCCATACCCTCACTCGCACCTACATCCACACCTGATATACCGGCTGGCAAGGAATCCTACACCTGACTGGATCCGACCGTCCATTCACTTCCACTGACCGGCCACAGCACTGGGGTGTGTATTCAAGTTTGGATATGTGAGAACTGAAGACTAAGGCTCACACCTAACTATACCGTTGTTATTTTTGAAACAGATCAGTGAAACCATAGTTTTTCAAATGATACTGTAATGTTCAATGATAAAATAGTAGTTAAATTTAAAAAATGCTGTCTGACCCAAACTTCATTTTTCATGAAAATAGGAAATAGTTATATTTACTTTCGTTTGATTTCAACTAATTTTTGCAAAATAAAATAAATAGAACATCTTGAAGAAAAATCTATAAGCAAGAGAAACTAATATGCGTGAAATATTAGATAAATGTTATCCTAATTTTCAGAATAAGTCCAGTATTAATATTAATGTGAAAATCTATCGAATTTAAAAAAACAAACATGTTGATCAAAATCAAATTAATTAGAAAATAATAAAATCTAATTTATATTGTTTTATTTTCATTTGCTAATTTTCAAGTAAAATCTTGTTTATATGTAAAAGTCAAACTATGAGTAGTAAATAATTTATTTTTTATTTTTTTACATAGAAACAACAGGTATACATATATGATAAGATGGTATGAGAAAACGGAAAATGTACCAAAAGACAACCTAATATGGTTGGAAAAATAAATGAGTCATTACATCAAAATAAGAAAGAAAGTAATGGAAGAAAACCAGAGAACACATTGCGAAAAATACTTGACAGAACGAAAAAAAAATTATTGTCGTAGTTAAAAACATTCATATGTGAAGCAAGAAAAAGAACAGATATCTATGGCTAATACTTATAACACATTTGCGTTATGGTATGTAGCTAAGATGTGCCAGAACAGTTTTTATTTTCACAATCTACATTAGTTACAAGAAGGGTTTATTCCATGAACATATTAACATTACTCCATTGGAATTTCTGATTAAGTTTTTCTTTTGAAATATTTATTTCATCATTATTATGCAAACTGCCAGGGGAAAAAAAGAATATGATTCACCTATTATGATTATGATATTTAACTGGGGCAAACGTTTCATATTTGTATGATTTTCATACACACAGTGCATTACAAAAGATATGTCAAATACAGATAGTAATCATAACTTGAATGATATTTGGATGAAAGTATCAGAAGGTACTGATCATATATATAGAATTCAAGAAATGTCACATGTATCATATATGATTCTTTATACGTAAATAGAATTTTATTTTCCATCTTTCTTTTTCTTTTGTATTTATTTCGTTATCTGAACATTTTTTTTATAGTCACGTTTATGATTATTGTACAACTCCTCAAGCACAAGGATTTTCATCAAGAAAATCAATAAGAACAATTCAAGCACCAGTTGGTAATCAGGGACAAAATATTATAGAAAATAATGGAAATGGTGCTGGTGCATTGTACATCAAATTGAAGAATCATTTAAGAATTTATTTGGAGAAAATTTGTCAAGTAAGATTTTTTTTTCCTGACAAAATTTTAATAAAAAAGTAAATTATAAGATTATAAAGATGTTCAAATTAAAGTTCTTTAGTTTCTAAAAGTCATGTAAAAGAGAATCAATAGAATATATTCTGAATTTTTACATATCATATAGAGTATCCCGATAACAAAAAAAAACGAATATCAATTAGTTGATATTGACAAAATATAAAATGCGTTCTTTTGTTTTTTCTTGTCAAAAAAATGAATAGAGAATAATGAACAACACATTATTCAAAATGACGTGTTACTATCATGCTGATGGATTTTTCGTTCTTCAAAACTCTCTTCCTCCTACGTTATGTAAACTTCTGCCATAAAACCAACAAAATCAAATATGCAATAAATCTCTTATGTTAATTTTACAAGAAGAGATGTCGCAAAAAAAAAAGATACAGACGATATATGAAAGCAATCCGAAAGATTCTTTCTTGTATTGATGTCAATTGTATGCTTAGAAACATAGAATTATGTTAAAATGACGACAAAATAAATTAAGAAACTTTTAATTTGTAGCCAGGACTTGATTTACAAGGAGAAACTATACTTCGTTTCTATACGACCAATTGGAGAAATTATCTATTTTCAAGTAAAGTAACAAATGGTTTTTGTCAATATCTAAATCGATATTGGATAAAACAAGAACATGACTCACGAAGAATAAATGTTTGTGATATTTTTACTGTAAGTGAATTAAATTGATTATCTCTTTAATTTAATTCTAAAATCGATATAAATTTAGATGGCAATGGAAATTTGGAAGCTAGTTTTTTTTCAACTATTGAGTAAACAAGTAACATCAGAATGTCTTCAATTGATTAAAGCAGAACGACAAAATGAAATAATTAACAGTCGATTAATCAATGAAGTTATACAAAGTTATGGTAAAAATCGAATATTTTCTTTTACATTAGAAAATCATTTGAAAATATTTCAGTTGAACTTGGCGTGGTCGAAGACACATCCACACAATGTAATACTCATCAAATAACATCTCCGACATTAACAATTTATAAAGATTATTTTGAAATACCATTTCTTGAAGAAACAGAACAATTCTATCGTCTTGAAGCAGCTACGTTTCTTACTCATAATTCTGTAACTGAATATTTGAAAAAGGTGTTTTTTTCTTGTATTATTTATATAAAAATGAAAAAATATTTAACATTGTTCATAACAGATAGATCAACGTCTTGATGAAGAAGTACATCGAGTAAAATCATACCTGCATTCATCAACATTAGGAATATTAATTAAAAAAATGGAAGAAGTACTTATTCATGATCAACTTCACGTAATCTATACTGAAGCAAAAGTACTTTTATATAATGAAAAAAATTCAGGTAGATAAACGAAAATTTAATGAAGAAAATTTCGTATGATTCATAATGTTTTATTCAGATTTTCTCTTCTGACCAGAGAAAATATTCGTTTGTATTTATATTATGTGTCTATGTTTTCAAAAATAGGTATTGATCTTTTCAAAATTTGAAATCGTCGCTCCGAAAGAAGAAAATCAGAATAAAACACTGATGAATAACATATTTGTTCTTTTTTTAGTTACTTCGTACAAAAATAGTTTATTTATTTTAATAGATTTGGCACTTCTATTCAAATTAGTTAGTCGAATACCAAATGCAACTGATAAATTGAAAGAAATTGTTGAAGTTCACATCTATGAAATGGGTATAGATGCAATCAAACGAATCAGTAGCGGTGCACTTAATGTAAAACAAAATTTTTCTTTCTATCTTATTGTCATATTTATTTATTTTTTCTTTTCTTTGATCAGAATCCAAAACTATATGTTGAAACTATTATTGATATTCATACGAAATTCTTGAAACTTGTAAAAGACGTATTTAATAATGAACAAAGTTTTATTGCTACTCTTGATAGAGTAACTTGAATTATCTGTTTTTTTTTTCTTTATTTCATCTCATGTTATCTTATGTTTATGTGTGGATTTTAGGCTTGTGCTAAGTTTATTAATAATAATGTAGTAACAACAACAGCTGATACAACAACAAAATCAGCTGAATTATTAGCTCAATATTGTAATATACTTTTACGAAAAGGGTTCGTTGAAATTTTGATTATTTACTATTGAAATATATTTAATTTAAATATATAGAAATCGAATTGTAGAAGAGATTGATCTCGAAGAAAAATTCAATCAAATTATGGTATAATTTTCTGCTTAATTATTATCTTTTTTCTAATTCTTTATATTTATTTTTGTGTTTAGGTAGTTTTTAATTATATTGAAAATAAAGATGTATTTCTTAAATTTTATCGGAAAATGTTTGCTAAACGTTTAGTTGGTCAATTATGTGCATCCTATGATGATGAAGAATTAATGATTTCAAAATTAAGAGTAACTATTATATGTTTTTCATTCTAATAAATCTATATTTTAATGTCTATTTTAGTATGCATGTGGTTTTGATTATACATCAGAATTACAACAAATGTTTCAAGATATTCGTAATACTAGTAAAAATTTAACTGATCAATATGGAACACATTGTGAAAGACAAAGTCTACGTGATATTGGTAATAATAGTCTCATTTATTTTTCATAAATTTTTATTTGATATGATTGTTTATTATTTTTCTTTTCAGTTGATTTTTCTGTTATGATTCTCAAGACAAATTCATGGCCATTTTCCGCACCACGAAATATTATTTTACCAGTTGAAGTATGAGTTATTTTCATCATACTGTTTTTCAATTATATTTAGTTTAATTTTTCTTTTAGCTTAAAAAACCATATGAAAATTTTACTATGTTTTATAATCAACAACATAATGGTCGTAAGTTGACATCACTTCATCAATATTCAAAAGGAGATTTACAAACATTGTACACTGAACAAAAATATATTTTACATGTAAGTATTGATTAATTGTATAAAATGACATTCTTTTTTTTTTTTTGATATATTAAAGGTATCAACATATGAAATGGTAATTTTACTTTTATTTAATAAACGTTCATGTTGGACAGTTGAACGAATGCAAGATGAAACACAAATCGATGTTAATTTATTTTTGCAAGTTCTTTGCAATTTATTAAAAAGTAAATTGATTACATGTTCAGAAATTAATAACGATGAACTTCAAAAAGATTTAAACGAAAATGATATTAAAATGAATTATAATATTCAAATAGTAAATAATTTTAAAAGGTCAGTATGTTTTTCGTTAATCATTTGATTTAAAAGTTTCGATTTAAATTCTTATGAAAGTACGAAAAATGATATAAGATTTTTATAACGTATGAAATATTAAGAAAGTTGAAATGAATTTATCTAGTCTCATAAGTTACTACTATGTGTAATATAAATAATCAAACTAGTGATTCGTATATTATGTTTTTTTGTAATTCCTTACCTTAAATATTTTCATTCAATCTTTTATTTGTTTACGCCATAATTTTCATGCTTAACTTTTATAAGCTTCTATTCGACCGGCAGCTATAAAAGTTTTTTTCAAAGATCAATTCACTGATGAAGGATTCAATGTATCCATTGTAATATATAGTTTCATTCTATTTTTGACAATTTAACAAAACAACCAACATGTTGAGGTTTACTGTATATTCGTCTGCGAAATTAAGAATAAATGAAAATATTCTCAATAAAATGAACTATCTTTCAAATCTTTAGACAACACAATTTTACATCAATTTTAGAGTTTGTTTTATTATTCATGATTTTTTAATGAAAACATGGTGCATAGTGATTCATTAGCCATATAATCTTGTAGAGAATGGAATTTCATATTTCGTTGTGTTTCAATCAGGACTTTGCAATTCACGATAGAATCATTCGAAGTGATTCGAAGCTTTTGATCTTATACTTTTTCTATAAGTAAGAACATGCCCTGTGTAACAGTATTCACCACGAAAAAAAAAACTGAATGATGAAATTTCAATCCGAGATTTTCTCCAATATATATGTCTAAGAATCTTTAGAATATGCTAAAAGTTTCAGACCAAGGAGATATTATCTGCTCGAGTTAATAAATATACAAGAAATGCTTATATATCACTGAGATGTACGATAAATTTTATTGTCTTATACATTCGTTATTTCTATAAGGGCGTGTTTGTTTGAACTGAAACTTTTATGATATACTAAAAACTTTGAGATCTATAGATTAAGAGAATCTTAGATCGAAATTTCATCGTTGACTTATTTTTTCGATACTTTTCGATACCTTCTTGTCTTACGTAGTCCTGGTTAAGGGTAAAATATGAGATCAAAAGCTTTGAATTACTTTGAACGGTTCTCTCGTGAGTTTTATATCTAAAAAGACTTCACTATTAAAAAAAAGGTCATGATGGAAAATATTCATTTTCAACTTCCCAGTAAAGATTGGATATCGAAAAGTGGATAAGTCAAATAAAGGAAAAAATGCTCTATCTATTAGTATAGGAATAAATATTCTCTATGAGTCTATTTGTGGAAACTAGCAAATCCTAATTCATGAAACCGTAGAACATTGAATTTCGTGTACTCGGAAAATGTCTTCTATGAATTCTACGAAATCAGAATATGATAATTATAGAATAACTAATACGACAAAAAGTTCAACCTGTGTCTAAAGATTCAATAAGAAAAATTCTTAATTTATCTTTTTATTTCTTTTTTTTTAGTAAAAAAATAAAGATAAATTTGAATGTACCAATAAAATCAGTCGAACAAAAAGATATTGAAGGTTTATATAGAACAATTGATGCCGATCGAAAAATACTTATACGAGCTGCAATTGTTCGAATAATGAAACAACGAAAAACTTTAAAACATGCATTACTAACTCAAGAAGTTATTCATCAATTAAGTTCTCGTTTTCAACCCCAAATTCCTATGATTAAAGTAAATTCTATTCTGATTCTATTAAAAATTTAATTGAAAAATTTTCTTTTATTATAGAAATGTATTGAAATATTAATTGAAGAAAAATACCTTGAACGTCAATTAAACGAAAACGATATGCTGCATTATTTGGCTTAAGATAAATAATCAAGTGATCTGTATGAACAATGCGTACCTCGAAAAGTTTAATTTCCATCGATTATTTATTCATGAAAAATGTTCAATAAACATTTTCTTATTGTATTATAACATCAAATTATTATTTATAAAATGATAAAATCGAAAAAAAAAATTCAAAGCATGGTATCATTTAAAATTAAAATACAATTGTTCAACCTCTTTTTTGTTTCTTCGTCTATGACCAAAAAATCCTTCGTGGTTTTTTGTTTTTATTCATCTGTCTAGCTTACATAGTCGCTATTTTGATACTTAGCTTACAAAAAAAAAGTCAGATAAATCTATTCATCTTATCAAGATTTTCCTATCTTTCATGATCATGAAGAAAATACAATTTGTATTTATCTTACGGTCAACTCAAATGTACATGTTCTGCGTTTCGTATTCAAGAAAATGCTATTTCTCTTTTTTTCCTCATTCTTTTCTTTCAAGTTATAACCTTCATTTTTTTCTTTTTCTTTTTTGCTTTTGTTTCGGCTTTACTGATGTAAAATGATCTAGAAATATTTATATAAACATGACATTATTCGATGAGAATATTAATGGTCTTCGTTGCAAAACTGATCTTCTATCTAACGGAGAGTATAAGGGGTAAAAAATTGGTCGTCAATCAAAGTTTTGTAGGATGGGGTGTAGGTGTGGATGTTCTAATGAAGAAAGCAGACTTATCTGCAATCACACCTTAACCCAAACAACAATTTGTTAAGAGTAGACATAATTTTTGCAACCATCTTCATATAGTTATATTGTATCTCTTTTGCAAATAAGATTTAGCAAATTTCTTCAGATTTGAATAAAGTTATAGAAATCATAGGTGTCACTATTATTTATCGTATATAATCTTTTCTACTTTGACTAATAACTGTAGGTAACAAATAGGAAGTCATCCTTTTGTCGGACAGATATCTGAACCATTTTCTAGCAATTGATGATTGCTATTGATGTCGACGAGATGGCTTCAATTCCTCATTGAAAAGTACAGATCGAAGGCATCGAACATTTGATCATAGCCTATGCATTAACCGAGATTAATGGCATTCTAGACTATTTTAAATTAACTTCAAACTTTTATTGAACGACATTTATACAGTTTTGGTTAGCAATACATTTTCTATTCAATAGTATACAAACAGTCTATATAGCTGGGCATCAAAAGTTCAGACAAAGTTTCGACTAATCAAACTGAAATTAATACGAGTTAATAATAAGGCTGGATTGTAAAATCGTTACAAGTTTTATAATAAGCTCTCTTTGCTTTCTAAATGAGAAATAATAGCTTCGAAATATTTTCCTTTATTTGTGTATAAGCTGAATAATTGATTTCACACACAACTGTTCACAATTATCATTTTTGGTTATGATTAGTTGGTTGTATTTTATTTAGTTATACGTATGTATATTAATCATTTTGAAACCATTGATTATTATGAGATAAGGATAGAATTAACAACAAACAAAGAACGATAGTTTTCTCATTGTACATGTAGTATCAACTTTAATGTCCGTAGCCATATGGACTATGATTTGAAGGATGATCAGAGGGTCCACTAATACGTTCGTCACCATCGAGATCCATATTTGTGGCTTTTCGGAGTTTTTTAATCACGTCTTTATTTCCATGATTATTCTGATTACAATATCCAGTATGATAAATAACCATGACCTTCAAAAAAGACATAAGTCTGACATGAAATAAATCACATGTTGAAACATATTCATACTAGAATCAATCACACCATCTTCATTCAAATCTACGTCCAATTTCTTTTCTACTTGTTTAGTAATAAAATCTATGTGAGAGAAAAAAATCATATCGTCACAGTATTTAGCGAAGATAGAAACATAATAGAATCATTGAAATAAGTTTGTCTGATGTTAATTCGGACAAATCATGCTAAAGACATGGAATTCCTTATATATAGATCAAAACGTACTTATCTAATTTGTTTTTGAAGTTTTGATGGTGGACAAACTACAAGAAACCTAGCAAATGATGAAACAAAGGCTTGTATTCAATTACTCATATACATGCGTGTTCGTTAATGTAACGATAAAATAAATGATAAACGTATTGTGTCTCTGTTCACATGATCAGTTTTCTTGCTTTTCCTTTCTGTTTGAGTGAAGAATATCGAACGTCAGGTAATGCGTCTAAATATTGATCTTCTCTTTCTTGATAGCGCCGATCAAGCATGGCTATTTGTCGTGTTCTCTTCCATGCATACATCAGCACGTTTACTATAAAAGTAAACTGTCAAATATAAATGAATATTTCTGACGTAGAACATAGTTGTAATCGATAGCGAATTAACGGACCAATCGATCTGGATTTTTAAAAAAAGTTTTTGTGTCTATTTTTTTCGAAAGTTTGATCATCAAGAAGTTTTCATGTTATCAAAACAAAATCAAATAGTTGTTTAGCATTGTAATTTGTTATACATTTATTTATACTTTGTATTAAAATAAATGACTGAGTGAATATTATGTGATAGGCAGATTAAGTTGACACTTCTCAAAATTTTGTTACTGTTTCATATAAGAAGCTGAGATTATTTAGTTAGCACAAGAAAAAATTACTATTGATGAAATACTATTAAAAATTAGAAAAGAACTCATAGTGATCCGTCGTACAACTTCTGTTCGTTTAACATATTCATCATCTTTTCTAAGAGCTTAAAATATTCAGGATGAATATTACATTCATCTCCATATTATTTCCTTATATTGTATTCTTTTTCGTCAAATACACAGCGAAAAATATTCCTAAGAAAAATATGTTTGTTTTTCATCACCAATATAAAAATCTCATTCTATGTGTCATGCTTTCACTTTTTGCAGAGAAATTCGATAAATGTCGATTAACGAAAAATTTCAATTCCTCTATTATTATTGATTATTCCACTTATAATCTGATTCTCATCAAAAATCGATTTTACGTCTACTAATTGATTATTAAGGAATTGGTAAATATCAGTAATGTGTATACGAAAGTGCATTACTCAAATAAATAGGGAAGATCCATGTGTATGAATATTGGTGTAGGGTACAAATGAATGAGATTCAGAAGATCTCTATCCACGCGTCCAACTTTACTTTACTTGCTGGACTTGAGATTAGTAAGAAATTCATGGTTTTTAAACATAAGTAATCCAAAGCAATTAGGGTATCACATTCAAATCTTGAGAAAAGCCCTAATATTCGATGCGTATGATTAAAATTGATTAATAGACAGTACAGAATTAAAACAGACAATTTCCATGTGAAAAAATACGAAGAAAATCTACTTTGAATCGATGGATTTTCTCTTTTTTTCTTACACCAGAAAGGTATCCATTTAGTTTTATTTTTTCTCATGATTCAAAAACCAACGGAACAGTACAAAAAAATCGATCAAAACCGGCATGAAGTCAATTATAGGAGGATTATCAGCATGACTAGTGTGAACTACAGTCCAAATTATAATCGGTTATGATCGATTATAATGATTTTGCTTAGACCCGAAAGATTTTGAATTTTAATTGATTTTAATCTCCAAACTTTTCCATTGGATAATCATTACTGAAGCCACTCGTTGTAAATTCATATTACAATAGAAAAACAGTTTCATTCATCTCTACTCGCTGTACCAATGAATGACTGTCGCATTTCTTTGGCTGTGCGACGGGTAAGACAAAAAAAATGCACAAGTTTCATTTCTTTTATATCTTAGTGTGTAGGATCATGCTTCATCTCTTTTCGTTTATCTTTTTCAAATATTTATATGTTGAAAGAAAACTAAGAATACGACAACAACAAAAATGTGTGAGTTGTTCATTGGGATATTTAAAGATAACACTGAAATCTTTTTCATTCAGTTCATTTGAGCGAAGTTAATTATAGAGTTCGGTAGCTTTTTCCGTTAACGGAGTTGAAGCTTTAACTTGTTTGGCATCATCTAGAAAATAATTTATGAGATTTAGTAATAAGAAACGCAGAGAAAATTATTTATCAAGAGCAAGTAACAGATCTTTAGTCATCAGTTCACTAGTAAAACCACCATTATAGTTATTACTAGATGGTACGTTAGCTACAACTCCAGGACATGGATTATATGTTTGACTTGACCAACATTGAATACTTGAAGAATTAATCAGTTTGGCTAATACATCTTTATTGAGATCAAATCTTATAAAAAAAAATGAAATTAGATTGTTTCGAATTATAAAGATTAAAAAAAAAATGCTTACTTGATACCAAGATTCATTGCTTCTGAAGTACCAATCATACTAATACCGTTAAACTACTACCATTTGTACAAGCATGGATAATAGTTTTGCCTATTTTACTAAGAATAGGTTCCACAGCTTGAAAATCATTTGGTTGACTACTAACCATAAATGTTAATGTACCTTTTTGAGCACCAATAGTACCTATAATATTTAAAGATTAATCAAACCATTGCAACAATATATATATATTAATAACCGCCTGAGACAGGATCATCGACAAAATTTAATTGTTTACTTCGAGCCAGTTCCGTCAGTTCCTTAGATGTTTGTACGTCAATTGTGCTACAATCAATAATAGATGTACGGTTTTTAGCCAAACTAATCCATTAATTAAAAAAAAAATCAAAACTACAGGAAAACTATTTCTGTCTATCATACGAAAAAAATACTTGATTGACAAATATCACGTACAATATTGCCATTAGGCAACATTAAAATAACAAATTCTGAATTTGCTACTGCTTTTTGTGGTACAGAGGCTAGTATAGCTTCTTCTACAACAAGGACACAGATTTATTCGTCATACAAAAACAATTCTTTACTTTGTCCTTTAAAATAATCAAATGCTTGTGGGTGAATATCAAAAACTGTTACATGATGATTAGCTACAATTAAATTTGTTGCCATATGCTTACCCATATTACCAAGACCAAGAAAGCTAATACATGCCTAAACAAAACATATCAAATATGTTTTGCTTTCTTTTTGTTACATACATATATTGTAACATACATATCGAGTCAATGATAGATGTACCATGTTGACTACAAAGTAAGAATCTCGAAAAAGAAAATTAAAAAAAAGACATTGATTAACCATATCCTATAGGACTCCCTATTTCATTCATCAACATAATACATAAAATAGGAGAAAAAAAACTAACGTTTAAGATGTCTATGTTTCAAATCAATTTGTAAAAGTCAAGCAAATGAATTGATTGTTGGCGATCATGATACAACTCCCAAGTAAAAACTATCATAAAGCTAAATAAAAGACCATTACATGTATACAAAATCCGTCCACTTGATCTTCATTTTCATTGATTTTCTTTTTCCGCTTGTTTTTCACGTTTTTCAGCTTTCGCCTTGTAACTTGCTTGTTTATTTTTCAATTGAATAACTTATTCTTGGTCATATTCTGCTTTACATGTTTCAATATATTGCAGGACCTTTTCAGCGCATAATCGACATTCTTTTTTTATTGAAGCATTTACCAGCTTAATTTTGTAAATCAGAATCAAGAGGATTATTTTTACATCCAAATACAAAGTACATTAGAAACAACAAAATGAATTTGTATATATCAAAAAACATAATTTTACTTCTAATTTCGTTATTTCACAAAAAGAAAGTGGTAAATTTGTAATATGATTATTGAATAAATTGAGCCGTTCTAATGATTTTTACTATCGAAATTTTCAGATAACTTTGT